TTAAGTTTTTGATTGCGTTTTATTTATTTTATAATATTAATTTTTTCCATTGGTGAATGGGATAGCGTCACTAAAATGGCGGTTACATTACGTGTATCGTTTCTACAAAAATCATTATTGTTAGAGGCAAGCGCGTTAAAATATTCTTTTATGTATTTACTCTTTTTATATATTTAAGAGATTTAAGAAGCTATTGAATGAGAAAAATATAAGACATATTATTTTTTTGCATGTATATTCAGATTCACAAATTTCGACAAATGTATTTTTAAAATGTAACTAACGCACTCAAGTATAAAATTGTATTTCTTTATCGTTTATTTGAATGTTTATCAGATGATAAGATATTACTTTTACGATTTATATAATTTTATATAAGGCAAAATTGAAGTTTAGTTGCATAAAAAACAATACAATTATTAGTTTTGTTATAGAAAAATGAAATAAAAATGTAATTTAACTCATTTAGCCGAAATAATGAGCTAAACTCGTAATGTGTAACCTAAACCAAAGTGTTTAACTACAAGTCAGACTCCTAGTTGTAAATACTTCTCATAATTTAATGATAACCATATTTATTCCCTTGTGTTGTAACTGAACACAGTCAGTTAAGGTTTTCACTTTAAAAAATATTTAAGTTTAATAAATGCTGTTAGTTATAATATAACAGATATACTTTTTTTATCATCTTGCACAGTTTCCTTTCATAAATTCATTTAAGTTATATACTATCCCATCTAAATATTATACTTATATATATTAAATGTCATATCTTGTCCACATAAAACACAAATAAATTTTGTTTGAATGATTCAAAAATTGTATATAAAAGTTTCACTTCTATATAATATTATTTCTAAAATTTCAGCAATAATCTAGCACATTTACAAATAATAATGGCGGATAACGATGATCTCTTGGACTATGAGGATGAAGAACAAACTGAACAAGTAGTTGATGGAAGCGGAGATATACCTGCTAAAAAAGAAGTCAAGGGCACATATGTATCTATTCACAGTAGTGGATTTAGGGATTTTCTTCTTAAACCTGAAATATTACGTGCTATTGTTGATTGTGGCTTTGAGCACCCATCTGAAGGTAATAAAAACAGATTACATATGAATGATATGTTCACGTGGCTGACTTGTTGTTGTACAAAATACTTTGCATCTTTTTCTAAGAATAAATAGTAATTTTGTATAAATATTGGTTACAGTACAACATGAATGTATTCCTCAAGCAGTGCTTGGCATGGATATATTATGTCAAGCAAAATCTGGCATGGGAAAGACAGCTGTATTTGTATTAGCAACACTGCAACAATTAGAATTAACTGAAAACCAAGTTTATGTTCTTGTTATGTGTCACACACGAGAACTTGCTTTTCAAATTAGCAAAGAATATGAAAGATTTAGCAAATATATGCCTCATGTGAAAGTAAGTTATATATTTATAAAAATTTGTATTAAGTA